ATTTTTGAGGTTCCCTTTCTCAGAGAGTGTCGTGCAGAATTTCGGCTACTAGATTAGATGCTTTATTTCATTTTTTTCTTTTCAAAAGAAGCATCAGATCATGAGAAACCAGAGGGCAATTATCTTTTATATGATCAAGAAATCGTAATTAAAATTATGTTGGGTAGGGTGTCATTCCCATTATTGTGTAATGTTAAATGTGCAATGCAGGATAACAGCGGCAATGGGAATGTACTACTATGGTCTTCGAGACACGACGGCTACTTATGCTACCAACTTCCTGAACTTGATTCCCGTAGTCACATTTGTCATCTCCTCCGTCCTTGGGTAATTACCTGCCTGGCCTCACCCTCTACTGTACTACTGTATTAAATATTAATTAATAATTATGGATGCATTGCACTGAATGGCGTTTACGTCAGATGGGAATTTATATATATATTTATTTATTCAAGACTAGGAAGAGAAATATAATATAGTTGTTTTTGGTGTGTACTACTAATTACACTGTAGGATGGAAAAGGTGAGTGTAAGGAGAAGAGCAGGGAAAGTAAAGATAGTGGGTGCAATTTTGTGTGTTGGGGGAGCATTAATTACGGTCTTTTACAAAGGAAAAGGATTCCACATTGGTCATCATGCTATTGCTGGCCACCGCGATGTCGCTGCTCCTGCTGTTATATTTAATGAGATCGAGGCTGACGCTGAGGCTCACTGGGGACGAGGCACCCTCCTGCTTCTTGGCAGCTGCTTCTGCTATGCGGCTTGGTTTGTCGTTCAAGTACGTAATGTTCTGTTCTGTTTTTGTTTTGTGTCGTGCTGGTGCTAGCTACATCCTCATTCAATTCTAATTAAACTCACCACCCATTTGTTCCTTCGGCATTGCCAATTGGCATAACATAACAGGTGAAGTTGCTCAAACTGTTTCCATCAAAGTACTTGGCTACCATGCTGACATGTGTCATAGCATGCATTCAGTCAACAGCGCTTGGATTGTGCTTGGACAGGAACAAGGCCGCTTGGACCTTGGGTTGGGATCTCCAACTTCTCACCATTTTGTACTCGGTATACCACATAATAGTATACAATTAATTAATACACACCATTACCTTATTATTAAATTAAAGCGTATTAATTCATTGATGCATGCATTCCTTTTTAAATTAAAACACAACTATAGTCTATAACTATGTGGGTATGCTAGTTGTTAACTATGTGCACTGCAGGGTGCACTGGCCACAGCAGCAACTTTTTGCTTAATGACATGGGCAATTTCAATCCAAGGACCCACTTTCCCACCCATGTTCAACCCGGTGACTCTAATTTTGGTGGCAATCTCAGAAGGCATCATACTTGGGGAGGAGATTAGAGTGGGCAAGTAGGGACATTTGCATGTCTTGTCTTGTTGTTGCCTGTTTGGTGTTGTGGTTGATGATGTTCATATATAATGTTTAGATTTAGAATTATAATTATATGGAATAAAATTAAATTGCAATAACTTGATTTGCAGCATAGTGGGGACGGCTGTGATGGTAGCGGGGCTCTACTGTTTTCTGTGGGGTAAGACAAAGGAGATGAAGAAATCGTCGCATCTCCCAAGAGCAGCAGCAGGTGCAGTGGAAGCGGCAACGGCAACTTCAGAACCTGCGCCGCTGCAGTCAGCAGCTGTAGTGCCCAGCGGTTCCCCCACTACAAATACTGTTTCTGTTGATGTATTAGAAGAGGCTGGTAGTGGCTGCAGCACAAGAAACCCTTGAAACCTACCTCTGCCCTTTCATTTTCTGTTGATTGCAACTCAAACATCCAATCCAACCAAAACCTCCGTTCGTCAGTTCCATATACCCATTTCAATCTAATCCCAATCCGTACGCATAATTGAAGCATTACCCACCATCCAACTCTATCGGTTAGTTTAGTTAATTACGTTGCCAAATTGAATAAATGTGTTTTGAATTACGAGTTTTAGGTTGTGTGCGGCTTCTGAAGAGGAGATATCAATTGCAATTTGCAAACCAAACAAACTTCGGTTAGCCTCAGCGGTGTATTGGCCATGATTAAGGGTGTTGGAAGGTGTTCAAAATCTTTCAAGCAACAATATATTTATCTGCAAACCATTTTTTTTTAATCGCCCATTAAATAACACTTTTTATAATCTACCACTCCGTTTTCCAAAGGTTATTAGGTACCTTCAAAACGCCTTTTATAGAAAAATAATAAGAAAATAGATTACTGAAAATTATATTTTTATCAAAGTGATGTAGGTTGTTTATTTAGACCATTGTACCTATGTTTTAGTCATTGTTTTGTCTCTTCATAAGCCTTTCCCAACCGATCCATATATACAACCATCTAAATCTCAGTACATATTATCGTTTCTTTTTCATTGGTTGGAGATCCACATTGACCATGATGAAGAATCTCCATTTTCAATGATACTTGGGTGGTAAGATTTTTTTGTTTTCTTTCTATTCTAAAATCAAGAACGGAAAGAACTTAGATGAGAGTTGTGCATCCCTCCCTTCTCTTTTGTTGACTTGATTTTGATTTTTGATGCCCAACATTATCTATTTGCTTGTAATTCAAAACAAAACATCTCGACATAAAAGTAAGGATGGGTGCCTTTAGTCTGTGATCTAAAAATAATGGATTTAATAAAAAGTAGAATTATATTCTATATTTTTGGCATTCTAAATATGGACGGAATAAAAACTCTAGAAAAAATCTCAAAATTTATGAAAATGGATGGAAATTGTTTGAATTAGTAAATAAACCTTTAATGATAGCTTAATTAGGCTATATTTGATCATTTTTAACCATGGTAAAAATATAAGAAACTTACTTATAGAAATGTCGATGGCGATAAAAATATCATAACAAAATAATGAAATATTGATGAAAATTATTTGAGTGAGTAAACTAAAGTTCAATGTTACTTAAATTATATATGTTTTATTGATAATTTATCATAACAAGCTACGAACTAATTATATATACGATGAATTTTATATGGTAAAGAAATGAATTCAAATTGAATGGAGGATTGATTTAGAAATATGTTTGAAAATTGTGTAAATTTAGATTTAAAATGGAAACTATTTAAAGTTAGATTAAAATAAAAAATAAATTGAATGGATTCGAAATAGTTTGAAAATTATGTATATTTAATGGGGAAAGTTGAATAAAAAAATGTTAAATTACCATTTTGGTCTCTATACTTTCTAGCCTTGTTAAATTTTAGCCCTCGTATTTTAAAAATATTCATTTTGGTCCCTGTACTTTAAACTTTGGTTCATTTTAGTTCTTGTATTTTGAAAATGTTCACTTTTGTAATAGGACTTCAAGGAAGAAAGTATAGGACCTCGACCTTTCCTAAACCCTATCTGTCGGATTGAGGCAAAAAAATATCTACAAAGACAATATTCAATAATTGAGAAAAAGCACATCCAAACTAATGGTATCAGCCTTGTTCGGCTGGGTAATGACTCGCAACTCCCCAGATTTGTTTGGTTTGGGAATCCATGAGCGGTACATCGAGAAAAACTAAAAGGTAGAGTGAAAGAGTGCCCTTTTCATTTTTTGCAATGTCCATTGGGGCGTTAGCTCCTTATAAATGGACTTCTGTCTCCCAAAGAGAATCCATTATTTTGACTAACTTACTTTTAAAAAGTGATCATTTGTCTTTTTTTGAAAATTTTTAACACAAATTTTATACCTGACGAAACTTAGTAAAAAGTAGTTGGTACTTTTGTAAATTCATATTATTATTATTATTATTATTTTGAACTACTTTTGGCAAAGCGCCTCAATGCCTCATTATTAAACTTAGTACTTAATAGAAGTTTGGGCCGCAGCAACCATCTCCCCTGCCCAATATGGGTCTCGGAAGTTGGGCCTTAGGACCGTCCGCTCGTGTTCGTTTCAAAATATATATCATAGTGGCCTTACCTCCCACTAAAAATTAATAGCTGCTTAACTTTTGAAAAAATATACACACACAAGGAGAACGGGGTGAGCGGGATCCTAATCTTCTGTGCCTCCAAATTGATGGACTAAAGAAAGAAAAGAAAGAAGGAGAAGAAATACAAATAGGTGGGCGTGGAACTTCGGCGTGTAGTTTGGGTATGTGATGTGTTGCCCCCAGTCCACAGATTTGAAATTGAGGCCCACCGCGTGACTGATTAAGCCCAAAACCATTTGCTCCCGCTGATGCCCTTTTGTTTTCAGAGTTGGGAAATGGGACCCACGATTCAATCATCCCAATCCCAACCCTTCTCTTTTCCACACTCCCAAATTCTCTAAATTTCTTCCACTTCATCCACCTCACCTCTTACAAATAAAATTACGAAAAACTATGTGTATGTGGATGTGGACGCAGATGTTACGAATATTTATATTTAAATTATTGGGTCTCTCAATTTTTCCTAATAAAACGAATAATCGTGTGCCACAAACAAAATAAGCAAATTGGAGTTGAGAAAGAGATATAGGGGAATCGGATTCGTAGAGCTATGTAGTCATACTCATATTTGGGAAACCACGATGGAATTTGATGTGTATTTGTATATGTAGGAAAAACTAAAACCATCAGATTTTTAATTTGGTAGAGGCTACAGTCAATGGCTAAAAATAAAAATAGGCACAATTTCCGGATTCTAAGAAGAAGGAGAAGGGACAAAGATAGTAGGCCAAGTCAGTACCTTTCGGCCATTAGTTGTAACTTTGAAGCAAAGATAGGCCCCTCCCCCCATTTTCGGTGTTAAATATTTGGCGAATCTAATGAATCCCACCCGACCAGGACCAAGAGGAGACCAAGAGAAGAGGTCCTTTTTCTCTCAAATATCACTTCTAAGTTTCAGTTTTCTTTTTAATTCTTTTATATATATCAATTATAAATAGGCATAGCCTAAGCTTGGGCCTGGGCGTTCCGCGAGAGATTGAGATAAGATTAAACGCGGGTGCTGGTGCTGGTGCTGGTGCTGCTGCTCCTGCTCCCCTCTCCTCTCCTCTCAGGCTCAGGCTCACCGCTTCCCCCTTCCTCTTCCGCTTCTGCCGGTTTTTTTACAGTTACTTTCTTCGCTGTCCAAATTTAATTATTTTGCCTAACCCTAACCCCCTCGCCTTTCCCTTCCCAATTCCAATTCACTTTTCATCTCTCTCTTTCTCTTTCTGGGGAAAGAAAAGTCTTTTCTCCTTCGTTGTGGTGAAAGAAAAGTCTCCTCTCTTTCATATCACGAATCGCGATCACCCCACTTGTCGTTTACGCCCATTATTTGATTCCAAGCAGGAAACCATTTTTTTAATATTTCTTCTACAGCATTTGCATTTCACGCTCCCGCTGGTTTTGTTATATAAGTAGATCGTACACTGGAGGGCCAGGAATCAAGAATGAGGAAGGAGAGAAGAAGAGATAAGAAGATGAAAGGAAGGATTTCAATGATTGGGAGCTACGCCATTGCTTCCTCCATTAAAGACCAGCATCATCAACGCCCTTGCATCACCTGCACTACCTTTAATATACTCGCTCCCATCTACAAGCGTCTCAACCAACAGGTTCCCCTCCATCCATCTTTCCCTTCAATTTTTATCTTTCTCCATTCCGATTCCCATTCATTTTCCATGAAAAAAACAGGATCCCAGTTGCCGTGAGAGCGATTACAGGACATACTGGCTAGCCAGAAATCAGAGGATACTCGATTGGCTCTTGTATGAGAAATCTTCCATTATCTGCCTTCAGGTTTCCATTTCTTTTCTAAGTCCATCTTTGTCTAATTCTTTCCGGGAAAACAAGGTCTCAAAACAATCGTTGATGTGTTTGTGTGTCCTTTTCTTTTCTTCTGTGGCCGTGAGCAGGAATTCTGGGTTGGAAACGAAGAACTTGTAAATATATACGAAAACCGACTAGCCAATGCCGGTTACCTCAGTTTCAAGCTTGCTCGGACCAATAACCGTGGTGATGGTACGTTTTTCTTTACCAATTCATTCCACCCCCTTTCCCTTCTTTCTTATACCAAGGATTGTTCGAGTGTACCAATCCAAATTCATTGTCCTTCAGAGTTCCTCGTCTTGGGTTTTCTCTTTTACTTCATGAATATTTGAGTCCACATTTAACACCAGGAATTGATGATTATGATGATTTGTGTATTGGTATTATGTTTATTAGCCGTGAAACCATTTTAAAGTGAAGTTGTTTGGATGTGAAACTACAGGTTTGTTGACTGCGGTGAATAAGGATTATTTTAAAGTGGTAAACTACCGAGAGCTGCTATTTAACGATTTTGGAGATCGCGTTGCTCAGCTATTGCATGTTGAATTAGCAGTTCCATTCTCACAGTGCCGGAACAATGATATCCGTCAGGAAATTCTCATTGTCAACACTCACTTGTTATTTCCTCACGATTCTAGTCTCTGTCTTGTCCGGTTGAATCAAGTAAGTTTGACTCACTGTCCTTGGATTCATGCAACTTCTTGCACTTTCCATTTCCAATTTTAATGATCTTAACCTTATTCTTTTCTCCAGGTATACAAAATCCTACAATATGTTGAATCTTATCAGAAAGAAAACAAACTCAATCCCATGCCCATCATACTTTGCGGGTAAACCTCATTCCCTGATCTTCATTCTTGTTCTTGTTTGCCCATCATCTTCTTCTTTTGTGGTAATTTCGAGATGGTTGTTTTGTTCTGTTTAGTGACTGGAACGGAAGCAAACGTGGGCATGTGTACAAGTTTCTAAGGTCGCAGGGGTTTGTATCCTCCTATGACACAGCTCATCAGTACACTGATGCAGATGCACGCAAGGTTAGCATCTTCAATTTTATTCCCTCATCCTCATCTAAAACTTAAAATTAATAGTCAACGTAGACTATTTTTCTAATCTTGGTTGTGGTTGTGGCTTTCATGTATGTAAACCAGTGGGTGAGTCACCGGAATCATCGGGGAAACATATGTGGGGTTGACTTCATTTGGCTTTTAAATCCTAATGGATACAGAAAATTGCTAAAAACTAGCTGGAGTGAAGCTGTTTTTGGCATGTTCAAGGTAACCACTTCTCCATTTCTGCCTGTTCTCCTCCCACACTAATTGCTGTGTCTTTCAAGTTTCAATTTATGAGCATACCTACGACTTATTTGTCTCGTACTATCATAATCATTTCCTTGTTTAAATTTTCAATTAGGATATATTATCTCTAGTACCTTGAGCATCAACCACTTGACTGCAGTTCTTCACTTTCCTTCATTATATTGCATGACGGACTTATGTTATCTGCTGGATTTGAAAACAGAGGGGACGTATGTGAATAATCAACTATTTAACAGCACTCTTCAGTTTCACTCGTCCAAAATTTATCACAAACACACTATTGACTATTGAGCCATGATATGAATTATTTAATTCTGCAATGCTATTTAATTGTAGTCCCTTGCTCTGCGGTGGCTACTTGAATTGTTTTATATCTGCATTTCTAATACAATCTTACCATTTTCAGTACCTACTTCGAAGAGCTTCACTTACAGAAGATGATGCATTTGCCTTTCTGCAGGCGGACAATGATGGTGACTATATAACCTACTCAGGTTTCTGTGAGGCACTTCGACAGGTATATAAGGCTTGGCTTGCTGATTTTGGGTTTGAAAATGTGGAACCTGTGTTGAATGTGATTGGGAGAAAGATCCTTGAATCGAAAAACTTATTTATGAATGCTTAATCATTTTGTTCAGCTCAATTTAACTGGGCATCCCCATGGGCTTAGCGTTGGAGAGATAGAGGACTTGTGGGTACAAGCAGATATTGATGGAAACGGCATTCTCGATTATAATGAATTTCAGGTAAATTTGTTGTCCTTTTGACACTGACATAAGGTAAAGTAGATAAAAAAAGTTGAAGAGCAATTGAGATTGATAGTAATGGGGTGGGTGTTTCGTGGTTTCTGACAGCAGAGAATTTGGAATTCTACGGGGAACGAGGAGAGGGATGGAAGAAGCAACGAGGTGGGGAGTGGTGGGGAGTCAAAGGAAAATCAGGAGCAAACGATTGGTTTCAGTGTTGAAAATGCGGTGCTGTTTCCTGCAGAAGTGGAGAAAGGAAGGTGGCCCGAGGACTACTCGCTTTCAGATCATGCACGACTCACTGTGGTGTTCGCACCCATAAGAATGCCCTGTTCACAGTTGATATCCTGACGCGGGCCTCGCCATTTTTCCTTTGCCACCCTCAACAGCTTTGCGTTGTTGAATCTCGCACCAGCACCAGCAGATGAAAACTTGGCGTCACCATTTTTGGGGATGGGGAGCATCCGCATCCACATCTACACACTACACTACAGTTGAATAAGTAAGAAAAGGATAGGAAAGAGCTGATTAAGTGTACAGACAGTTACAGTTACAGTTACAGTTACAGTTGCAGTTATATGGGTTTTAGAAATCGTGGCTTTTGTAATTTTAGTGCCGTATACATATAGGAGGCAGGAGCAACATTTGTACAGTAAATGAATTCATGGAAGTCCCGGATGGAGGAGCAGAGCATAGCATACCAGTACCATTACCATTATATGGTTATTACTGTAGAAATATATGCAAATGCAAATGGATGCTTAAAGGTGATGTTTTTAAAGAGACAAACAGTTGGCATTCCAATCCCTTCCTTAATGAACAAGGAAATCAAATATCGTTTCCCCAGTCCCAGTACCAGTCCCAGATTAAGCATAAAGGTGCTCCGCCAGCACCGCTCTGTCTTTTACATTCAAATACATTTGATTTTCCTTGGGAACCAAAAGTCGCTTCTTTGTCTGATTCTCTTCTGGGTAAATCGTAATTCATGGCACTGTCTTATTATGACAATTCTACCACAAGCCACTCCATTTGCTCACTCCCAACACCCAATTCCTTTTTCTTTTTATAAAATACCATAATAGAAGTACTGATTTTTGTATAAGCGAAAAATCAACGCTCAAAATGCACCATAGAAATGATTAAAGAATGAGGAATGTCTAAATATTGATTATAAATTAACTCTTGAAACTCTTCTGGTGCAAGTAGAATGTTTATTTCATTTTGTAAGTAGTTTTGGAAGAAAACTGATTAAAGTCGTGCACCCAAGTGATTTTCAGTAGTTTAATTATAATTGATATTGTAAAAAATATTTAATAAGAAGTTATTTTAATATTTGGTTCTATACTTTTAAAAGTAATTTTT